GAGTTGAAACATTTAGAATTCATGCTTTGGTTGAGAATTTGTAACATCTGAAATATACACGTAGATTAATCAACACGAAAGGATGGCCTGGTTATACCCAACTCTCAAGCTTATCTGATGGACCACATGAGAAAAATGAAGGTGCACAAGGGCAGAGCTTTGAAATGTTACCATATGACATGAACAGACTCTATGTAAAAGTAGTTCAAACAACACTGGAAGGCAAAACTTATTTGGTATCCTTTCCATTCCAGGACAAGGTGGCATAGACTCACTTTTTCTTATCTGCTCCCCTCTTCTAAGTACAACTAAATCCTCTGGTAATAATTCAACAGATAATCATGAAACGACCCATCCCCCACTGCACATTGAGAAGGGGCGTCTTTTCTGTGGCAGCACTGTCAGAAGGACCTGCCAGGAGACCCATCCCCCACAGCAGCAGTGTCAGCTGGGTCCCTGACAGACACCCAGGGCAGTGATAGCCTAGTCCACTGCAGCATCAATAAAGCCCAGCTAAGGACCAGTCCTCCACTCTGCACCCAGAACAGTGCTGGCCAACTCTGCCAGTGTCAGTGGCACCACAGTCACATACTTGGGGCCCAGGAGGCCTGAGTGACTGAAGCATCAGTAATGTCCTGCCCCAAACTTGGCAGAGTGGTCACCAACCAGGGCTTCCTGAATTCCCCCTCAATGGCACCCAACAGCCCCTGCAATGACTGAGTGGGAGACGCTGCAAAGCCAGAAAAATGAAGCCAGGCAAAGTAACACATGAGGGCTCTCAGAAGTAAAATGTCACTGGAACTGCAGCTCACAAAAGGCAGTCAGGACCTACATGTGAAACCAAGGCATGGTAACTGCCCACTGAAATGTAAGCACACACCTCATCTCTTGCAAAAGCTCTCTGTGTTAACTGACTACCATGACCCTTCAAACCTTCCATGCCCTAGCAAAAGGCTGTCCACACACTCTTCCTCTCCAGAGCAATCTTCTAATTAGTAAGTCTTTTGCAATCAGAAACAACTTGACAACAGTGAGTTTGGTTTTTTGTTTTCTGTTTTTTGCAATCTGGCTAGGTTAAGAATTTCCCAGATCATCAAGTCCTGCTTCCTTTTTGCTGAACATTTCCTCAATCTATCATTTTTCTCTCACATTTTAGTATAAACCAGGCTATTTGGGTCTCTATTGCTGCTGTAACAGAAATATCACAAGTGGATGGTTATAACAAACAAGGAATGTATTCTCTTACAGTTAAGAAGGCTATTAGTCTGAATTCAGAGTGCCAGCTCTAGGGGCTGGGGTGTAAGCCCCTCAACCATGAGGCGCTGCTTCTTGTTCCAGGCCCACTGGCGCTGCAGGCTTCTGCAACTAATGAACCCAACGTCAGCAGGTAAAATGGCACAATCCCAAAATCAACAGGCAATGTGGCAGGTCACTGGTTCAAGTCTAGGAACTAGAGATGAAGACTCAGCCCAATGGAAGCTGGAGACTTTTCTCAAAACTTCTTCTTACATACTGGAAGTATGCCACACCCTGAAGGCAACTACTTAGCTGCTCACAGCAGATTCGACCATGGAGGTGATTATAATATCATGAAGAATCACTACATCCAGCTCCACAACCACGCAAAACCACAGCCCAACTAAATTGACACACAGCCTTTACCACAGAGGACAAACAAACCTTCAACACTTTGCTTGGAAATTTCCCCAGCTAAGTAAATTCAACTTCCTCACTTACAAGTTCTGCTTTCCATGTAACTACAGGATACTATTTAGCTATTTTTCAGCCACTGTGTAACAAAGAATCCTCTTTTCTCCAAGTTTCCAAAGCATGTTCCTCATTTCCTTCTGGGCTCTTACCAGCAATGCTGCATATCCATTAGTGGACAAGAGTCTGTATTCAAAAAGATGTGGGTTTTTCTAAAATGGTATAGGTTTTTTCTACCATGCTCATCACTGCTCTCTGAGCCCTCACCAGCAGGTTTTAAAGTGTTCCAGGCAGTCTTGGCTCTTTGAAAATCACAGGATTCAAAATTCTTCTGGCCTCTACTCATTATACAATTCCAAAGCCACTTCCACATTTTTCAGTATTTGTTACAGCAGCACACTGCTTCCTGATATCAAAATCTGTATTACTTTCCCAAGGTGCTGGAACAAATCACCGCAAATTGGGTAGCTTCAAACAACAGAAATTCATTTTCTCACAATTCTATAGGCCAGAAATCTGAAAATAGTTTCACTGGGCTACAGTGAAATAAAATTGCTAGCAGGGCTGCAATTCTTCTAAAGGCTTAATGAAACAAACTACTTCCTTTTCTTTTCTAGTTTCTGAAGGCTGCCTGCATTCCTTCGCTCATGAACCCTTCCCAACATCTTCAAGGCTCATCACTCCAACCTCTGTTTCCACTGTCATTCCTTCTCCTCCTTTCTTCTGCTTTTGACCTCTTACCTCCTTTTTTATAAGAATGCCTGTGACTATACTAAGGTCTCTGAGTGGTGCAGTCAGTGCAGAACTAACCTAAAGCCTGGCAACTTAAACCCATCCAGTGGGAATCAGAAGGCCTAGAAATCTGTTTCCATAAAGATGACAGCCACAAAAAACCCTATGAGCAGTTCTACCCTTTAGAACACAGGGTCAACCATGAGTCAGAACTGACTCACAACAACGGGTTAGGTTTTATGGTTTGGTGATTACACTAAGCTCATCTGGACAATACAGGACTGTTGTCCCATCTGAAGGTCCTAAACTTACTCACATCTACAACTTTCCTTTGACCATTAAGGTAATGTACTCTTCAGGTTTTGGGGATTAGTGTTTGGACATCTTTGAGGGGCCATTATTCAGCCTACCACACGCAGCTACAGAAAGTCTGAACAACAGTAACAACCATCTTGACACAATTAACACAGTTACGTATTACAGAACATTACAATCAACATTCTCTTCAAGTGTACTTGGAATATTCAGCAAAAGAAACTCCATGCTGGGTCATAAAATAAATGGAAATAACTTTCAAGATTGAAATTTTATAGATTATGTTCTCTGCCTGAAACGAAATTAAATTGGATATTAATAAGATATCTAGGAAAGTACCAAATATTTGTTAATTAAACATATAGAAGTAGTCCCCAACTTACGACGTATTCAAGTTATGATGAAATGCACCCACAACTGGCTTTTATTGTTGTTTTTATTTTTAGCTTACATAACGGGCATACAACAGGAGAAGGAGGAATTGCTGATGTTGAAGCTGTAAGTTTATATGTAATGTTCCCAACCCCCAAACACAAAGATCAAATTTATGAAGATACTGATAATAAAAGGTTATAATGGAAACTAAAAAAAAAAAAAAAAAAGAGGGATTGACTTACGTCAGAACCAACTTATGATGGAATTGCTGGAATGGAATCCTGTTGTAAGCTGGGAACTACTTGTACAGTCATGTGCCGCATATACATCCGTGGTCCCATTAGATTATAATAGAATTCAGAAATCCAATTAGAAAACGGGATGTAGCATATGTAACCGGACATAGCAAACTCAACAGCTTCCTGCAAGTAACACGTGTATCTCACGTCTCTTGTATACAAAGCAATTCGTGCTACCAGGCATATAATGGTACAGTGCATATGTAACCTATCATACATATGTCTTTATACTCATAATAAACGCTTATGTTACTGGCTTATACATGTACTGTACTTTAAATTGTTATCTTAACATGAACTTTCCCCACTTACAAATAAAAAATTTACTGTATAACAGTAAACTCAATTCATAAGCAGCAGCATCCAATCTCATTTATTGTGCATTTCTTGAGTGCTGCAGCACCGCATATATAACGTGGTGTTCGCATGATGTCCAAATCACAACATCTGACTTCACAGAACTCAGGGACATTAAGTGACATGGGACTGTACTTCTAAATAATCCACAGGCCAAAGAACAAAACCACTAAAATTAGAAATTATTTTGAAATTGATTTTACAAGTAAAAGCCATACTACAGAGCAAGTTCCTTTTCTAGATAGCTTTTAGAAATGGATTCTATCATTCAAGGAAGTAATTAACAATCTTCACAAATTTTCAGAAAACAGGAGGAAATGTTTCCCAATTCACTTATTGAGGCTAGCATAAATCTGATACCAAAGATTAACAAAGACAAAAATAAAAATAAAAACTGAGTGACTGGATACTTAAGATATTTCCACTTCATTATATTTAAATTTTATATAAAAATTTAAACAGATATTAAACTAAACTTAAAAATATTCATTTTGAAATGTTTAGATGGACGTCAAAAGGAACACTTGTGATACAGTGGTTAAGCAGCAATCTGCTAACCAAAAGGTTGGTGGTTCGAACCCACCAGCTGCTCTACAGGAGAACATTGTGGCAGTCTATTCCCGTATAGATTTACAACCTTGGAAACCCCCTGGGGCAGTTCTACTCTGTACTACAGGGTTGCTATGAGTTGGAATCGACTCTATGGCAGTGGGTTTGGTTGAGTTTGGTACATTTTAAAATGTTAACAAAAAATATACTGTTACTTTGAAATGTACCAAAAATAAGATGGATTAGTGGAATGAATAAAAGAATGAATAGACTGACTGATAAAATAAGTATAATAAAATACTGATACAATCTAGGTGCTTACCATACCATGTTAACTGTCCATCTCATTGGGTTTTGATGTATACTCTCAAAACTTTTCATGATAAAATGACAAAAGAGGGTGCTGTATAGGCAATTACCAATACTCCCTACTCACTTTACTAAAGAAATACAAGTCACACTTACTTTTGGCTCCCAACAAGTGTCTTCCCCACAGACAGATTCACAAGAACATTCTAAGTATGCACGTACTGTCTTTTAAGTCTCTGCCTTAGCTTAGGAATGTATTAATTTCTTACAATCCAACTATTTATATGTGACTCAAAATATATTAAAACACCTTTTTTAAAAAAAAAAAAAAAAAAATCCCACTCCTATTGTTTATACCAACCTTACAGGCTACATTACTGGTTAACATGTTTGGTTCCAAACAATTCCTTTGAGATAATACTGTTTTAATACGTCTTTGAAGTTTTGCTATTTTTGCCTGGAAGAGAGAAAAACAAATAAATACTAAACTGGAGTATGAAATATGTCAGAAGCAAAGGAAAGCTGCTATTTGCCAAAACACTTTGGTGAGACTTAGGCATTCACACAGATAAATGAGACATTTTTATGTAAACTTACGAAAAATATTTGACTCATGTCTGATGCTAGTATGGTATCCAGGAATGGTGAGAAAAACATCAAACTTCTAATATGTCCACAGCAAAATTAATGTTAGCAGAAACACACCAACAAGCAAATAACCACAGAAAAGTTTAAAAACAAAAACCCAACTTTGGAACACACTGTACCAGCTTATTAAGTGTGCCTTCACTTTATTTTTAAAAAGGAAAACTTGTTTTCTTTGGTTCCATAGCATTATACTAATACAGAATATATTTTTTAAATTGCCTATGTAGTAAGCCTGGCAGTTGACAAAGAATGGCTGATGGCTCCAAGAGAGACCAGTTTTGCTGATATAATAAATTCTATGGTATAATCTTATATCTGGCTTTTGGTCAGGAATCAGATTTGGGTCTGTTCTTATTTTCATTCCCAATACATAATGTATCAAATTCTAGTTTTAAGAAGGACTCAAATGAAATCAAATAAATTAGAAACTTACAAAGAGTTTATCAGCTATTGCTTCATGTTTATTCCTGCACTGTGTCTTCCCAATGCGTTCATTCAATTCTTTCAGTTTGTTATCAAATATTTTGTAATTTATACTACAGAGCTCTCGTTGAATCAAATGTCTGACCTAGAATTTTAAAATAAAAACCAAATATCTCACATTACATGTATTTTTAAGTAATTTTATTTTTTTAATTCTTAAAAATAGATTTCTTCTTTTCTGGATTTATTATAACCCATTAAATATCATTTCTATGTTGATATTTATATTACCACACCAGTAAGTTTTTAAAACTTGTATATCAAACTCAGCAGAACACATGTAAATTTTAAAATATGAACATATAAGAAGCTGAACTTACTCTCATACTACTCATTTCCATTTGCTACAGTTGCACATTATAAGTCAAACCAAGTACTCCATATCACAGAGCTCCAGTCATTGGAAAACTAAAGCCCAGTGAAATAATTAAGTTAGGCCATAGTAGATATGAGACAAATCATGTAACTTTGAGCTTTGACTCGACCACAAATAAACTACATGCGCTTTGGGAAGTTACAAAACCTCTCTGAGCTTTATTTCTATTCTCCATAAATGAGTAGACAAAATAAATGTCTGGTGAATGAGTGATGCTAATAAGAACATGAAAAGATATTATGTGAGAGCTCCATAAAATGTGAAACACTGAAATGATGAGGGAAGCAACTGCAAGACAACTATTACTTGCATCATTGCGGGGGGGAATTGCTCACTGGTAAAACTGAAAGAATAACAATTAAGTAACTCATGTTATGTGGTCTGATGCATGCTAGACTAGCAGATCACAGTAGCCATCACGTGAAATGTTAATGCAGTTCATCATCTGGCTGTTTTCTTTTCGAAAACCCAATGGCCCTTCCAGGGAGCGTAATTCATTTCAGAAGTCCCTGGGTGGTGTATAGGGTTACATGCTGGTCTACTGGCAGAAAGGCTGGCAGTTCGAACCCACCCAGACATACCTTGGGAGGCAGGCCTGACAATCTGCTTCAGAAAAATCACAACCTTGAAAACTCGACGAAGCAGTTATACCCTGCACACATGGTGTTGCCAGGAGTCAAAATCAACTCATCAGCAGCTAACAACAATTAATTTCAATACCCTAATACAAACAGCTCTAATGAAGCATACATTCAGAAGCATTTGCTACAGTTTTTCCTGCTCAGTGTATATCCTCCTATAAGCAACTTTCATAACAGAATAGGCAGTGTCTCTTAATAATGAAACATTTCTGGCATACATGTAAGCTATTTACTAGTAATATTTCTATCTTCCCCAAATATTTTGATTCATGGTGCTCAAAGCTGTAAGACATATTTCTAATGTTAAACTTTTACACAGATATGATCTAAATGAGAAGTCATATAGTAATTTTATGATTCCCAAGGCTTTTTCTTCTCCTTTCCAATTTTTTCTCTCTTCAACATTGTCTACCTGTCCGTTTTCATAGGATCTCACGTTAATCTTGAAGTCTACTTGATCTTCTCTGTAAATCTTCATTAACACTTCTACAATGGTTTCTCACGATCATCAGACATATACAACTTTTAAGTATTTGATTCAATGAATGAGTGTTCAAAATATATGCATTTTTAAATTATGTAAATAAATGCTCAGAAACACATACCATTTGTACTTCAGCCATTACATATCACCCATGCATGGCTTTTACAGATCACTGCATGCTTGTCAGTTCACTGGCTGAGATTAATGTGTGATGTTCACACTTACATGCATCTTATCTTGAAGGAACATATCTAAAGGTTTTGAATATGGAGATACTGTTTTGCTTATAAGCAAAGATCATAAAGTATTTCAAATTCCTTAGTGAGGAAAATCCCATCAGATATACGTTAAAATCACAAACTCCTAGCCCCGATAAAGATACACCAAATAGAAGCTCCAAGGAAGGAGCATGGAAAGGTATAAATTTAACAAGCACCACCAATCACTCTTACCAGGTAAGTCTGAGAATACAGTACCCTAAAACTCAGTCTTCAGCTATTAGTGGGCTCCAGAATATACAACTTAAACAAGACACCTAGTGATTCAGATGGAGGCAGACCCTTAAACCTGATTATTTTGGACTACACCAAGAAGTGATTACTCCTGGTTAGAGAGGACAACTGTTCTCATTTGGTGGTAATGTTCCTCAATACAGGACACATGGTAACCTCCATCAAATACCACATTAAGTATGACACTTCTGTCGACTGCAGGAAGACTCATTAACAACCTGCGATATGCAGGTGACATAACCTTGCTTGCTGAAAACGAAGAGAACTTGAAACATTTACTGATGAAGATCCAAGGACACAGCCTTCATTATCGATTACACCTTAACATAAAGAAAACAAAATCCCCAAAACTGGATCAATAAGCAACATCATGATAAACACAGAAAAGACTAAAGTTGTCAAGGTTTTCTTATTCCTTGGATCCACAATCAAAGCCCACGGAAGGAGCAGTCAAGAAATCAAATGACATATGCATCAGGCAAATCTGCTGCAAATGACCTCTTTAAAGTGTTAAAAAGCAAAGATGTCACTCTGAGGACTCCAGTGTGCCTGATCCGAACCATGGTATTATATGTGTGCAAAAACTGGACAGTGAATAAAGAAGACTTAAGTACTGGTATCTTTCAATTACGGTGGTGTTGGTGAAGAATACTGAATATACCACGGACTGTCAGAAGAATGAACAGATCTGTCTTGGAAGAAGTACAGCCAGAATGATCCTTAGATGTAAGGATGGCAAGATTTCATCTGACATGTTTTGGATATGTTATCAGGAGGGACTAGTACCTGGAAAAAGACATCATGCTTGGGAAAGTATCAGGTTATTGGAAAAAAAAAGGAACTCTTATCAAGATAAACTGACATAATGCAACAATGTACTCAAACATAGCAACAATTTAGATGGTGCAGGAGCAGGCAGTGTTTTGTTCTGTTGTACACTAGGTTGCCTTGAGCTAAAAACAACTCTACAGCACCTAATGAGAACAACAGCAAGTGTGCCCAACATTATAGTATTAGATGAAGTGCTACTTTCAATTTGCAAATTGTAACCAAATTGGCCTAAATATTACATAAAGACTGATAATTACATATTATCTATCTGCCTAAACTTTTAAGATGGTGTGTAGAGTTAATAAGTAATTTAGCGGGAATCAATCAGGCCAAGATCCTTTAGACTTCAAAAGATAGAAGTTAATAGTTCTAGGATTCTCTCTATAGGAAAGAACAATGTCAGAACAGGAAGCCCTCTCCAACTGGGATTCAAACAAGGAAAACATACAAATGTACAGGTAGTCCCCACCTTATGCCAGGGTCTATTCTGTCAACTACTCACTCATGAGTTGGTTCTGATACAAGCCAAATACCTCATTTCTTTAAGTTTTCATTATTATTACCTGTTAATATTAGTATCTTTAGAAATCTGATCTGTCTTTGGTGGTTGGAAACATTACATCCAAGAATGATAACATCAATAAATTAAATGCTGCAATACATAATATATAGGTAGCACATATTACTAACAATAAAAAAACCAAAACCAAACTCACTGCCATCGAGTCGGATCCGACTCACAGCTACCCCTCCTTGGGTTTCGAGGCAGTATCACTATGGAAGTAGATTCCTTCTGAGGAGTGCCTGGTAGGTTTGAACTGCCAGCCTTCTGGTTAGCAGTCAAGTGCCTTAGGCACTACACCACCAGAGCTCCTATTACTAACAGTAAGAGGTACAAAAAAAAAAAAAAAAAAAACCACAGTCCTAAGTATGTCTTACTGAACTACACTGTAAACTGGGGACTACATGTAGAGCATACTTCAGAGATATTGTGAGTTCAGTTCCAATCGCAATAAATACATCAAAATGAGTGACATGAATTTTTTTCCCAAGGGTATAATAGAGTATATTGCACTCTATTACACATACAGTATTATGAAAAAGTTTGAAATATTGTGAGAGTTACCAAAATGTGACATAGAGATAAAAAGTGAGCACATGCTGCTGGAAAAATGGTTCCAATAGACTTGTTCGAAGCAGGACTGCCACAAACCTTCAATTTGTTAAAAAAAAAAAAAAAAAATGCAGTATCTGCAAACCACAATAAAGCAAAGTGCAAGAAAACGAGGTGGCGCAAAAGACAGATAGTCGTTAAAAACTGAGTTGTTTCTGGAGAATGAGAAACTTCCAGGGCATTGCTGTAGTTAGTTGCCACTGAGTTGATTCTGATTGATGGCAACCCCTTCTACAGAGTAGAGCTGCTCCATAGTTTTCAAGGCTATGACTTTTCAGAAACAAGATCTCCAGGCCTGTCTCCCAAAGTGCCTCTCAGTGAGTTCAAATCACCAACCTTTTGGTTAATAATCAAGTACCTTTTGTGCCACCCAGAACTCCAGAACAAATCAACCTGCTCTTTAAATTTGTATGCTTTTTAAGCTGATTACTCCTGAACGTTTCAAATACGTTTCCAGTTGAATATATATTCATGTGATATAAAACACTATAAACCATAATGGTCTGCTTTAGAAAAGTTATCTTTTTGTTTCTGAAAACACTTTGCTATACAGTTTGGACTGGGCAAATCTGGCCCATTACTGCTTTATGACATGATTCTACATATAATGCCTTTCAGTGGTGACATCCTGGTGGTGGTGAATTAGCAAAAGATGATCATCAAACCAGGTCCTAATTATATCCCTTCTACTAGAACTGAAACTCATTACACTTCAACTCAGAGTTGGATCCAACGTGTATGGAGGCACAATGAGATGCACAGGGGCAAGAGTCAAAACAAACAGTGTATTTTATCACGCTATCAATGCACATGGTCAGACAACGCAGCCTATCAGTGTGAGCACAGCAACTAGGTAAAGTAAACTTGGATTCAGTACAATTTTCCAGTGGATTTCTGGATGTCTGAGTCTATGGCCAATGATCATAAGATCTATAAACAACTATAGCTACAGATCAAAGACCCCCATAACTAGTAAAAAAACAGACTGCATTGTTTAGCAAAACCAAGCAATTTGCTCAGGTCAAGTAGAATCTGACTTACATGGGATTTGAGCTCAATACGGACTAAAAATTCCGTTCTCTTACTACCCCAGTACCCTACCTACGCATGATTCTCTAAGTCACTCTACATTGAATGATTTTCAAGAAATTGGAAATGTTTTGGTAATTTAAATAATTATTGTTCCCTAACTAATCTGTCTGCCAATTTTATCTCCAAATATAGTATTTATTATCAAGTGATCTATACTAAGTCCTTATGGAAAACTATTAAATTTTCCATTTTTTACCAATCCAAAGAAAAAGTTTCTGAAGCAAATAATACTTAAGCTACAGTATTTTACCTGTTCCAGCAATGTTCTTTCCTCTTTCACAGCTACACTAATATTTTCATTATTCTGTTCTGAAGTTTTCATCCGCTTAACATTCTCTTTGTTTTCTGAAAGCATCCTCTTCTTTCGATTATGGCCTTAGGGAAATGGAAAGATCAGAGATAAAAAATTCCTTTCTAAAGAAGGGAACAGAAAAATTCTCTCATTTTAGGACTCTAAGCAAATGGAAAAACTAAAATCTGAAAATGATAGCATTTTCCAGAAAATGTAATTGTATTAAAAAACACTCTTACAAACTATTCCTTAAAAACTACTATCTTAGATAGAGTTCTGGTCTCAAGATACTTACATGTCCACCAAAAAAACCTCACTGCCATCAAGTCAATTCTGACTCATAGCAACCCCCACTGGGTTTCCAAAGCTGTAAAGCTTTACAGTAGCAGATTGCCCAATCTCTCTTCAACAAAGCAGCTGGTGGTTTCAAACTGATAACCTTCTGGTTAGCAGTCAAATACCTTTGACATAAAGCCACCATACTATGAAAGCTCCTTTTAAATATATACCAACAAATATTAAATAAATTATTGCACTTAATCCTCTATTTACTTACGTTGTCCTATGTTGTATTTACAAAGTTATTTAGATAGTACTACATATTTTTAATAGACAGTTGTGTTATTATTTTCAAGAAATTTTAAATTTGTCTTGTTAAATGATTACTCTGTAGCTTTGTTGACACAAAATTTACCCTATGAAATCAGTTTTTTTCTACATTTCATTACTGAACAAAAACATCCTAATTCTAATTTTTAAAACTTCAGAATTTCATTTGGTGTCTCTAAACACACACATATCTGTATGTATACATGCATATATTATCTTAGTGTATTTCTGACATGTGATTTACAGGTGAATTTTAAGGAAATAAATGGGTTCATCAACAATTTAAAAGAGTCACTCTTTTAACTAGCCTTAGGAAGAGAATATCCTTGTTAATCTAATAAATGAAATTTCAAAATAAAAAGAGATATAGATGGGATGAGCCAGATGATTGTCATAAACCACCTTTAGATGTTTTGCTCCACTAAGAGAAAGTAATTCCTTCTCTGGCAAAATTCACTTCCCTTTAGATAGGGTGGATATTACCTCTCTTTCCCACCAAGACTAGTTGAGAACAAGAGACTATAAAATAATTAGTGTCAGCATTTACTTGTGTTCTTATGTAATTTAGAAAGCTCTGCTGAATGCTTTATTGTTAGTGGTTTTTTCTTCTCCAGGAATAGTTCCCCACTGGGCTCCCTCTTCTTAAAAATCTCCTCCTTGTTAAACTTTCTCCTCTAAAGCAGTTTCTTTCCACTCAGGGATGTGCCATTGCTCTTGGCTGGTCTCTGGCCCCAAGTTCAATAAAAAATTATCATTTTAAGTAAAAAGTGTACAAATGTACAAAATGCACATAACAATCTTACACATACGTATTAGAATTAAATACCAGTCTTGTCTAGATGCAGTTTATATATCTAAATTTTAAATACACTAGAGGAAAGGGACTATTTTAATTTCTAAAAAAAAAAAAGCATAAGCACACACTTACTGTTAGTAACTTCAATGTCTAGAGATGAATGCCACAGTGAGTCTGTACTCCCACAATCTGAAATGCTGGAATGACAAGTTCTACTAGATTCTTCAGTTTTCAAAACGTCAGCAGAATAGTTGCTGGAACTTACTGAATTCATCAAGTTAGGTGTTTTCTCAACATACACAAACTGTGAGTCTGAATTTAAACTGTTGCTATTTTGACTATTATCCTGGGACTCTGACTTGGAGTTTGTTTCTGAACAGGAAGCCATCTTGTCACTTCCTTTATCATCCATGGTACTGGTTACTGTATACTTTGGTATTTGAACTATACCACTCAATTTATTAGGTAAATAGCAAATCGATTTTTTATTACAATCCCCTTTGTGCAGCTCCAAATTGGATATTGTTATATTTGCCTGACTCTTAAAATGATTTTCAGAAGTATTCTGTGAATCTTTTGCCTCTTCCATTAACGGTTTCCTGAGAGAATATATTGTTTTACCTGGCTTTTGGTAAGGGCCCACAACTTCTTCATCAACATTTTCCAATGTTATTTCTGAATTAACTATTTTTTTAACTGGTTCTATTAATTTCTGAGGAAATACTTTACTATTCTGGGAGCATACGGAATTTTTGCTAGAGTCCAATGAGGAAGGATCATTTTCAAAATGTCTACATTTGTTCTGTATGACACCAGTACTTAAATTCTGATTACCACTTGGTACATTATTCCCAAATATTGCTGTTTTCACTGTTTCAACATTCTTTGACTTATTTAAGAGTTCTACTTGCTTCCGGCAACTTCGAGGCATTGTTTTCTTGGCTTTTAATATTTTCCGGTTACTTTCATCTGGACTTGCCATCTTTCAATATCCTAGAATTTAAGATAACACACTTAAATATATTTTTCAAGTAAATAAAAATTTACCATATTAAAAGAATGTTGTCTCTAGATTTAGATAGTTATTTATTATGAAGAAACAACATAACTTTTCATCTGTGTCATCGAAAATAAGCAAATAATTTCAAATTTTTCTATAAATCTATACTTTATAAATTTGAAGTTTATTCTAGAGTAAGCTGTTCCTTAATACTAAGCCTAAGGAATTATCTTTTTATAATATTACCACTTTTTGTAATATTACCTCATCGTTATGACCACTGACTTTTTGTTTTTATGACCCCTGACTTTTAATTATCCAAGTCAGTTTAGAAAATCTAAAGATTAAATTGTTTCTTCATTTTTTGTTGTTGTTGTTTGTTTTTTTAAAACAAAAGGTTCTGTATAAAAGATTACAATTTCAACAAACAGTGGCACCTTTAAAAAGACATTCTAAATGTTCAGGTTTCCAAAATAAAATGGTATTACAAGAGTAATTTCCAATAATTATAAAAATAAAACAAACGACTAAGATACAAGGCATGATGCCTGTTCAAATAAAAAAAAAAAACTTAGATTGTATAATACTTAATTATTAACTATATTTCATAATTAAAATGTATTAGTAAAAAAAGTATTTTAATATTTAACAGTCAGTACCCACATCACTATAGGGTCACTAAGAGTCAGAATTCACTTGATAGCAACTTGGGGTTTTTCCTTTGGTTTTTCTACCACATTTCATCTGAACTATAAGTAGGAAACTAGTTTAAAAGAAAGGTACACTGACAGATTACAAGGCACTCAAAGATAAAATAAAAGCAAACAAATTAAATTATACTGACTCATCATAGGCGGGATCTAACAAACTACTAAGCATTTCTTTATACCTCAATGGAAAACAGAATCTAGGACCTTTTACATCACAAAATCCAATAAAATCTGTCTGAATAGTGTTTTTATTTTATCTTTATCTATTTTCTTACCTGAAGTTATCTTTTCCTATATTGTTTTTGTCAAAATTAGTCAATCAGGAACAGTTCCAAGTTTTGTGAGATCTGAAAATTAAGGTAGATATTTACTTAGAATGAGAAAAGAAATGCAATAGGTTAGAAGTTATAAAAAGCTGACATGTCTCTTCATCAATACAATTTTATAAGATTTCCCATAGAGACAATCAACAAACCAAGTCTTTCCTCTAGCATGGATGATTAATATTTGACCAACATTTATAATTGTATTAATATTGACCAATTATATTTATTGATAATCAGATGCATAAAGTAAGTAGTTTCACCTAAAGATCTATTTCTTGCTGATAATGCCACAGGATTGTACCCTACAAACACAAAAATTTTTATTATAGTTTGAAGGCAGAATTCCTATTAAAAATACACACACACACACATATACACACATAGTGTGTAACTGAATATGCTATGTCATGCAGTATGTTGAGTGTATTTCTAAAAAGACAAGTTCTATTTTGACTGGAAATCAGAAGAACTAAAGCCTCTACTTGTAATTGTATACATCAGATAATTGGAAAATTTTTTCTAGACTAGTATATGGGTTCATAAATTTAAAACTTTGGTTTCTCCACTAGTCACATATTTCAGAAGCCAAGCACTGGAGAGCACATTTCCACCACAATCAGGCTGATAGGCAATAATTAACTAACACTCAGAAGTCACTGAACCACAGATCTATCCCACTAAGCCCACATTAAGTATATTCCTACATTCCTAAAGCCAGTTTACCACCACATGACACAAGCGTAAGAAAACAGTCAAGGTGAAGAGAGACAGCAGTGTAAATGATTGCAGTTAAAATATCTTACAAAAGTAACTTCAACA